CCACCACCACCACTCCCTCTCCCACCCCAACGTGCTATACCTGTTGTTGCAGTGGGCAGCTGTGAGGACCCAGCGCCTGGCGATGAGGGTGGCACCACAGCTGAAGGTGACACCCTTGTAGACAGCCGCCTGCCAGGGCTGGGAGTGGGGGCAGCAGGGGTAGCCCTTCAGCTTGTAGGTACCCGGGCTGGCAGCTGGGGAGATAAGATTTGCCCCCCTTTGTGCCCCGCCGGCAGGGAAGGGGGATGGGGGGCAGAGGTGTGTCACAGCTGGCAATCAGGGCTGCTCCAAGTGCTGTACAAAGGCTAGGGGGTAGAGAGCTGGTCCTGGGCCCAGCCAGGATGGGAGCTGTGCTAGGTGCTGTATGTCACAGCACCTGGGAGGGGGCTGAGCTAGGTGCTGTATGTACCCCCCCCACCCCCCACCCCAAGTAGGCCCCAGGCAGACCAGGCTTGGGCAATGGACCACTGCTGCTGCTCTGGGTGAGGGGGTCAGTCAGGCCCAGCACCCCTGGGAGAGGCCGCATCTTGGTGGGGGAGGGCAGGGCATGGCGGGGAAGGGTTGGGGCAGGAGAAGGGGGACACGGATCCAAGCTGGGGCAGGGGCTGGGTGTGGGCAGGCATCTGGGGGAGACGCACACACAACACATACAGAACACAGGCGTTTGGGATCCACGCACCCCAGTCTCCACAAGGAACCCAGGTATCTGGGACACACACACACACACGCACATGCACGCGTGCGCACACTTCGGTACCTGCAGCTCCCAGCATCAAGACAAGGCCCAGCAGCCACATGGCAGCAGCAGGGATGGGGGCACCTTGCTCTGGGGGGGCAAGAAGGTGGGGGCAGAAAGTGTCTCATTAATGGGGGGTTGTCCCCACCCCTTCTGGCAGGCTTCACCCCCCCACCAGCCCTTGTTTTTTTGCGGGGGGGTCAAGGCCCAGTCCCTCCCTGGGGCAGCAGAGTAAGGCCCATGACTTGGGAGGAGGGGGGCAGGAGGGGCTGGAGTTCATCCCCCTCCCAACACAGATGCACCCAGGTGTCCAGCCCCTGCCCCCCAGTGCTCC